CTAAGCACAAACCTTTGACTCACTGCCTCCCAAACACACCAACTCCCTTCCTGTTCTCCCTGTATGCACACACAAGTCAGCTGTGTAAAGCCCCTACGAAGCACAGTTCTACCTGCTAGACACGGCCCCTCCGGAGAAAGACTCACCCAGAATTACAGTCTCCCCTCCCCATTCCCTCCCTGCCAGCCCCTTTGCCATGGCCTGGATCTCGGGGAGTGGTGGGGACAGTCTGAAGGAGGGGGAGCAAAAGTGTGTGTCTGGGTCTGGTTACTGTCCTCCCCGGGGTGACTGTTCTAGAGTGGCCTCAGGATAGGTGGGGGCCACACCTTCTCTGCATCCCAGTAAAGGTGACCCTGCAGTCTCGGCTGTGGAAAGGGTGGTGCTGTGTGATGCTCAGGCATCTCCCCATCCCAAATGCAGCCTGATGGGAGCAGGGGGGGTGGGCGTCCTGGCTCTGCCCTCCCGCAGGGAGAGGAGCCATGCTAAGATGCCAACCTCAGGGACTTGGTTGGGTTCTTTTGATCCTGAGAGCTGTTCTGAGAGCAGAGGACAACATGGGCCATTGTCAATAAACCAATTCTGAGTTTCAAAAAAAAAAAAGAATTACAGTCTCGGGAACTCACAGGGCCGCTTCTGCCCTGTCCTATAAGTTCTCTATCTGTCAGCATCGACTCATGGCAGTGGGTTTTGATACATAGGGTCAACTCACCAGCACCGTGATTCTGGGGGCCTGAGGGAAACCCAGCCTGGTGTTTGGTGCTATAAGGAATAAAAAAAAACAGTATGTGACCCCTGCTCCCTGCAGAGCTGACTGCTGAGCAATGAAATAATCACCCAGGGCAACCTTACAGATGCTACGAGAGGCTTCTAAACTGGCAACCCAGGCAAGGTGTGTTCTAAAAAGGCTCTGGCCTGTTGTGGCCAAAGGTGGGACTGCCCTGGCTGGGCCTTGAAGGATAGCCCACATTGTAAAGGTTACCAAGAGCCCTGGAAAGCCAGGCAGGGAGGAGGCAGTCACCTGCGGCGCCTCACCATCTAGCTCTAGGCCTGGTACACAGGAAACAGGGTAGACGCACCTGCACCCATACGCAGCTACCCCATCATCCTCGCTCCATCTAACTCGGCCTCTCTTGTCCCAGCCCGGTTACCAGGCTAATCACAGCCAAACTCATTGTCACTGAGTCCATCTTGACTGATGGCCACCAGGTGGGACAGAGTAGAATTGCCCCACTGGGTTCCCAAGGCTGCACATCTTTTTTGGTTTGGTTTTGCACTTTTTCTTCTGAGTTGGATGAAGGCTTATAGACGAAGCTGGTTTTCCACTTGGCACAACTCACACATTTTTATTTCATCTCCTTGACTGCAGTCCCCCAGTGCACTGTCACCTCCCCGCTTCCTTCCTGTGTTTCCTGCTCCCATTCTTTCCTCTCCCAACCCCTCGGAACGTTGTCCTTGGGCAAATACTGCCCTTTTGGTCTCAAACGGTGGAGTCTTCTAAGGGGCGCAAACGTCCCAGCTCGATGATTGAACTGGGAATCAAGTTCAGGGGTGAATTCAGTCCTGAAGGGGGACTGAGGCCCATAGGCTCAGCACTTTGTCTGACCAGTAAGCCTGGTCTTTTGTGGGATTTTGAATTTTGTTCCACGTCGTCTTCCCCTCCGCTGTGATCCCTTTGAGAGTAGTAGCCAGACACCAGCGCGTTCTTTTGTTCTCAGGAGTCGTCTTGAAGGCTGAAGTTCGCACAGCCTATTGGGATCGTTAGGCCATGGGAATACTGTCTTCTTGTCTCTTTGATGGTCCGCACTCTACTTTGGACATGGAGAGACCACAGGTTGCCCTTTAGATGGCTGCTCGTGAACTTTTCCTGAGGACCCCAGCCAGTCCTCACCACAGCAGGCCACAGAGCGTGGGCCTGTGGACTGTGTTCTGCCAAAGCTATCACTGTTACAAACCAGACACCAGCGCCTTCTCTGTGCAGCGGCCGGCAGCCGCCCCCCACCCACCCCCCACCCCGACTTTCCAGTTAACCGGCAAGCACTTAACCATGGCACCCCCAGCACTCCTTCACCTACAGAGGACAGGTGCGGTGCCATTTATTTAGTTCTATCCACAATTACTTCTTAATTTTGTCTCGAATTGTCCTGGCTTTAGCCATTCAGAGCTTCTTCAGGTTGGCTCTGATGACGCACACCATCCTGCTCTGAGGATTTCCTAGAACCACGAGATGCTCTAGGCTCGCACTCCTCCTTCCCCAGCCCTGGAATCAACCCCTTGCTCAAAGATCCCTGGTGCCCTTCGTCCAGATCTCGATCTCTGTGTGTCCTTTGGGAAAATGACCTGGATGCTAGGTGGGGTTACTGGGGTGTAAGGGCTCCTAAGGCCTCTCAGGAAATACATGTAATATGCTAACCCCCACCCCAACACATAAATATATATATTTATATTCTTATTTATATATGTATAAAATATACATATATATTTCTCTCTCTACCATCTGTCAAGGCTGCGAATCTTTACAGTGTGCTGTCCCATCTCTCTCGCCCATGGAGCGACTCGGGGGTTGGACTGTAGAGTTTGTGGCTCGCAGCCAAGAACTTAATCACTGCCTCACCAGGACCCCTTTATTCTGTCATGATCCACCATCCAACCTGAAAACGTAGCCCCCGCTCCTCATTCCTGGTCTGTCACAGCTGTCCCCCCTTCTGCTGGCCAGGCAGTGTTCATCTGCCACAGGCTGCCCCCAGGTTCACAGAGCCTCGGTCCTTCCCCACTGCCCTCAGCGCAGAGCCAGCCTTCCCGCCTGTGCCACTTGGGGGTCTGTGTAACCTACACGCGGACCTCACGGCCAGAGGCATTGCTGTCACTATCCTGGGTTCATCTCCTGGTCCTAGAACCCAGGTTCCCAACCTATTTTGGCTATTGCCCCCTTTTCAGAACAACAAATCACTCAGTGCCCCGCCTGACAATTAAAAACTTCGTCCTGTAGCCCATAATCCAGGATCTCAAACTCAGTGACCCTATAGGACAGGGTAGAATTCCCCTGTGGGTTTCTGAGACTGCAACTCTTTGCAGGAGTAAAGAGCCCTTTCTCCCAAGTAGCAGCTGGTGGTTTTGAACCAGCCTAATGAGTAACCACTCCGCCGCCAGGCTCCAGCACAGAGTGTAGGTACTTGCGTTTGCAGTCTGCTGGGTCCTTCCAGAGACACCCCCCTGCCCCCACAGGGGGCGGACAGTATCGCTTGGGGAAACATTTCCTGGGAGCTTTGCTTTCATTGAGTCTTTCATTCTGACTGTAGGTGTGCTCCGTGAGGGCCTGGCACAGGCCAGGCCCTGTGTGGAAGCTGGTCACACACAGTCAGCCCAGCAACATGCAGTTCTTTGAGCAAGTTAGACGTGGAGCTCTCGTGACCACGCCCAGCACTTTGGAGCCCCACTGGGGCTGGTCTGACCTAGAGAGGGCCTGAGGACCAGGGTTCCCACAGAGCCCCGTGGGCAAGGAAGAGTTACCAGAGGGCGAGTCAAAGCTTCCAGTTGGCAGCTGTGTCAGGGGAGGAGGTGGTATCGGGCACAGGCACCTGGAAGCCCCGGTATGGAGTTTGCTTCCCTCACTTGGGATCTTCCTCCCCCTCTCCCTGAGCCGGTGCCCATGATCCCTCTCACGCAGGACTAAGACTGAGCTCATGAATAGCTTCTCCCTTCTACGGGACACTCTCCCTGGGCACCCCAATCCCAGAGTCCTGTCTTCTTGACTCATTTGGCACCAATCATCTAGCACTTAGAAGTGGACCACACAACCCCACCCCCCATCACAAAAGTTTGTGGGGAAAAATGGAATTAAGAGATAAAGAAATTTTGTCACAAACTCTCCTAAGCCCCTTGTTTGTTTTCACCCAACAGTGTCTCCCCAGCAACAATGAATTTTGAGCCCTGCTCTTCTCTTGCTCCCAGCCATATCCCTGGGTCTGTCTCAGTGCCCTGCCCCCAGCAGGTGTGCAGATTCTGCCATGGCAGCTTAGTTCCTGCCTGGGTCCACCTCCCTGCCGGGCTGGGTGCATGTCCCAATGTCCCTCTCCCCTGTAGGTGGCTGTGGCGTGGGAAACCTGACGGAGCCAGTGGCTGTTTCCCTGAGGCACTGGGCTGAGGGGGCCAAACCCTTGGCAGCTTCGTGGAGTTCGGAGGGACCCGGGGGACCTGGGGGCTGGAGCTCCGAGGGCTGCCAGCTACGTTCCAGCCAGCCCAACGTCAGCTACCTGCGCTGCCAGCACTTGGGCAATGTGGCTGTGCTCATGGTGGGTGAACTGAAGCAGGGGCAGAGGGCAAGGCAAAAGGGAGGGCAGAGGAGGTGGGGACAGGTACAGGGATCCCCTGAGAAAGAAAGGAAAGCAGCAGCCAGATCCAACCCCATAAGGATCAGGACAGGTTGAAGGGCTGCTACTCTGGTCTCCGCCACTTCTCTGCCCTGCAGGAGACAGGGAGATCCTGCCTCCAATCCCACATCGAGAGGTGGATCTGGGACTTCAAGCCCTGCACTTTCTGAGAGGCAGATCCTTAAAGCAGGGGGCCATGGAGGGACTGGACTCTTTCTATCGCTCCACACTCACTCGATCTCCCACCCTCTCCACACAGCCTTCCCAGGTACTGTGTAGCACGCGGCTGTCTTCACGACAGAGCCCTCTCGTTCTCTTCTCATTTCTGATTGTTCAGGCCAGGCGAGACTGTTCACAATTCTAACCTGAGACAGTGAGTTGTCAAGACAACCCCAGACACCTTCTGAGAGGGGGTGCCCCGACATGGGCTTCCTTGCAGAACGGTTTGAGAAAGGAGAACTGGCCAGGGGGACTGGCGAGGTCTCTGGGGGACAGGCGCTCCTCCTGGCTTCCGAATCTCACTTCCTCTCTCGCCCTTCCCAGGAGCTGAGTGCCTTCCCCCGGGAGGTCGGGGGCTCTGGCGCAGGGCTGCATCCTGTTGTGTACCCCTGCACAGCCCTGCTACTGCTCTGCCTCTTCTCCACCATCATCACCTACATCCTCAACCACAGGTGGGCACTCCTGCAGGAAGGGTGGGCTCCAGTGGGCAGGCAGTGGGTCTCGCTGAGCTTTGACTTCTGTTTCTTTCTCAGGTGGGTCTGCATGATTTTTCTCAGGCTCTGGTCTCTGGAGGTTCTGGGGTTGGGAACCATATTTGGGGGGCTACACACACACACACCACCCCCACCCCGCCTCTGGCTCTTTGGTTCTCCCTCTGGCCTGGAGACCTGGTAGACCTGAGTGGGTCAGGTGCACAGCATTAACAAATAACTATTTCTGGGGCAGCTCCATCCATGTCTCCCGGAAAGGCTGGCACATGCTGCTGAACATCTGCTTCCACATGGCCATGACCTCTGCCGTCTTTGCGGGGGGCATCACACTCACCAACTACCAGGTGGTCTGCCAAGCGGTAAGCAAAAGGGGCTTCGGTGGGGGAGGGGCAATGGTGGCAGCTCCCCGATTAGTGCCCATTAGTGATCATTAGTGTCAGCCTAGGCAGCTGTGCAGGAAGGAGGAGGCTATGCTAATTGCCCCCAGCTCTGTTACTCTGTGTGACCAGAATAGGAGGGAATAGGAGATGGGACTTCAAGTGGAGGGTGGTGGGTAGCAGTGGAGAGGTCAGGGATGAGGCGGATAGCACATGGCAGGGGGTGGAGAGGGTTGGGGGCAGGAGGGTCAGAGCCTGAGGGTGACTGGTTAGCGGGCTGGGCTGAGTAAAGGAGTATGGAGTTGGGGACCAGAAAGAAACAAGAGAAGTGGAGAAGGCTAGCTCTGGGATGGGCCGGCAGTATCAGCCCAGGGCCCCTTACCGCAGTGCCTTGACCCCCCAGGTGGGCATCACTCTGCACTACTCTTCACTGTCCACACTGCTCTGGATGGGGGTGAAGGCCAGGGTCCTGCACAAGGAGCTCACCTGGAGGGCGCCGCCTCCACAAGAAGGGGACTCTGCCCTGCCGGCTCCTCGGCCCATGCTTCGGTACCCATGTCAACCTGCCAGTCATGCAGTGGGAGAGGGCCCCCAGGGGCCGGGGGGGGGGGGGCAGGGTGCCAGGATCTGCCCTCTCAGGATGGGTGCAAGGTGTTTCTAAGGGCTCTGGGAAATCTCTCTCCAAGGAAAGGCATAGCAAGGCCTGAGCTGGCTCGGGGTTGCCCATGCTCACAGAGGGGGTTCATCTTGGGGCTTTGCAGAGTGACTCCAATGGGCCACTCCTGTACTGGTTAGGGCAAGAGAGGACATCCCAGACAGACTTCTGTCCACTGGAACAAACTTAGCTAGAGCCCTAGGAACCAACCAGACCTGCATCCCTGGCAAAATCTTATGAGAGGATTTAAAGGGAAGAAGGATGGGATGGAGCGTCCCAGGGTTCTGAGCACCTGGTTCTTCCCCCTGCCCCCCAGGTTCTATCTGATTGCTGGAGGGATTCCACTCATTATCTGCGGCATCACAGCGGCTGTCAACATCCACAACTACCAGGACCGCAGCCCGTAGTGAGCACACACCCTTCCGCCCTGAGCACCGTTCCCTGCCTGCCTGCCTCCAAACCAGCCCACTGGCACCGGATACCTTCTAGTCCCCAAACCAAGCTCACGCATGCTCTCTGTTCACCTATCCTCTTGGCCTCTGCAACCACTCTGGCCTGACGGGTCCCCCGCTTCCCCTGTGTCTCCCCTCAGCTGCTGGCTGGTGTGGCGTCCAAGCCTCGGAGCCTTCTACATCCCCGTGGCTTTGATTCTGCTGGTCACCTGGATCTACTTCTTGTGTGCGGGGCTGCGTTTACGGGGCCCTCTGGCCCAGAGTCCAAAGGGGCACAACAGCAGGCTCTCCTTGGAACCGGCGGAGGAGCTGAGGGGCTCCACCAGGCTTAGGAGCAGCGGCCCCTTGCTGAGCGACTCGGGGTCCCTCCTGGCTGCGGGGAGCTCTGGGGTGGCCACGCCCGGGCCCCCGGAGAGCGGTGACGGCCTCTATTCTCCTGGAGCCCAGCTGGGGGCGCTGGTGACCACGCACTTCCTATATCTGGCCATGTGGGCCTGCGGCGCCCTGGCCGTGTCCCAGCGCTGGCTGCCGCGCGTGGTGTGCAGCTGCCTGTACGGGCTGGCGGCCTCGGCCCTGGGCCTCTATGTCTTCATCCACCACTGCGCCAGGCGCAGAGACGTTCGGGCC